TTGCAGCACGCGCTGCTCGCACTCGATACTATAAAAACTGAGATAAAAGTATGCACTTCACTTATTCTAATAGTTTACAAAAACAAACAATCCTTACTAATCTGCCTATACTAATATAGCGTAAACACACTGCTTCGTGACGTAGAATGTCAGTAATCACAACATATCTATACTTTTATAATAAAGCGTAAACACACACTTCTTTGTTGCCTAAGATGTCAGCAATTACACCATATTTTTGAATAGTTAATACATTTTTTTAATAAAAAAGCCCTACACTTGTGTCCCGCTTTAGGCGATATATTTTAACCCCATTAAACTTAGGGGGTAAATATTTTGGATAAAAACCCTAATGTGGGAAAGAGACCATGAGTTGCTGCCAACATCAAGGAACCAAGGTTGTCATCATGTCATTTTGACATTTGTAATTGATAATTTGACAGATGTAAACAATAAAATAAAATTTTCATAATCTCATGCGGATGAAGTCGCACGGGAACAGCTAGTTTTTAATATAATTCTTTCTTTAATAAAAAAGCCCTACACTTATACGCTTTAGCCTATATATATTCACGCTTTTAAACTTAAGGGGTTGACAGCGACAGATACTGTAAGTTAATAGCAGCAAAGAAGCGTTTCCATAATTATTTAAATTCTCATCCAATAATACCTTTGTAATTTAACAAACAATTTCAACAATTTGAATTTTGACATTTACAATTTGATGAATTGAATTTTTAATAATATACGTATGTAACCTCACAAACACTAATAACAAACCTTCATTTCCATAGCGTTTTACAATTTCATTTTGTTAGTATTTTTAGTTTCACACCTTATTTTCTTTTTTATATTGTTATATTCAAATATATTGAAATACAGATAACTAATAGGCAATAAAATCCTGTTCTTGTCGGTTTTTTTTTATTGAAATTCCGACGTAGGCAGTGAAATCCCGCGCTTACACGTCTCTAGAGGAACTAGAGCGTCGTATAGTGCAGCAGGAGCGGCGCGCGGCCGCCGCGCAGGCGGAGCACCGCCGCGAGCTGGAGCGTGCGGCGGCCGCTCTGGAGCACAAGGAGGGCATCATACGCAGCCTTATTGATAAAGTAGCCGATGTTGAAGAAGTCAGGTAAGATAAGACACAAACTAGACAAATGGTTATTAACGTAAAGTATCTTACTTCTTACCGTTAAGAAGAAAATTAGTACTGACACTTTTACACAAATTAGTACAACATTAGATTATCGGCATTGACGTCCCGTCACTTTTTGACAGCTGTCAATGTCATTAGACGTATTGGAATAGCGCGCCATCCTGTCGAGATCTCTAGTTCTGAGTGTTTAAATTACGCTTGTAACAACTATATTAATTGTTAAAATTACTAATATTATAAATGCGAAAGTTTAGATGGATGTTTGTTAGAGTTAGCCTAAACTGCTGAACGGATCTAAATTAAATTTGCCGTAAATGTAGAAGATAGTCTGAAAGTAACTGTGAATAAAAAAATATATGGCTGTCTGTCTGCAAGTCGCGCTTGTTCCGGGTAAACTCCGGAACGGCTTTAACGTTTTTGACTGGACTTTAACAGGAAGGTAGCTGATATACATGGGAATGTTATAGACTGTTTTTTTTTAATTCTTCACTGAGAAAATATAACTTTAGCAATGTAAATATTGATTTAAACTGAAATATCACTAAACAACATTTTATTATAGGTTAAGTCAAACCAATGCTCATCGTCTGCAAGGAATAGTTTCCAACTCATCTTCCGATAGTTCTTCCGTTAAAGAAAAAGATAAAAAAGATATGAAAAACGTAAAATTAGTTCCCAGTTCCGGAGGATATTATCAAGATAAAGAAAAAAGAAAAGGTAACAAATGAATATTACTTTTCCTTAGGGCCTGTCCCACAACTGGCTGATAGAGGCTCAGATAGCTTAAAAATGTCACTGTCAGATAAGGTAACAAAATCCGGTATTCCCATCACATATTTTGCACGTAGGATTGTTATTGGATTATACCCAACCGTCACCCCGCTCTGTCCCCACGTGGGAACAGATGAGAATAAAAAGTTTCATCCGTCTCATCTTTTGCGACGAGGGGACAGTTGGAACTTATTTTACGTCGTAACCGTTCCATCTGTCGTCTTATTGGTGATAGTGGGACTAGTGGACGCATGAAACTTTTTATTCTGAAATGGGGACAGAGCAGGTTAATAAAATACGGTTGGGAATAATCCTTGTTATCAGACAATTTACAATTTGATGGGATAAGGCTTAAATCTAAAACTATGAAGTGGAAAATTCCTTTTGCATTTGTTAGTCCAAATATTCTAGAAGGTATAAGTATCTTAGGTATATTATAAAAGCGATTGTTTAGATAGATGTTTGTCAGAGTTTGTAGCCTAAACTGCTAAACGGATCTGGATGTAATTTGGCATAGATGTAGAGATAGCAAGATACTTAAATGCGTTTCATATAAGTTTGTGGACGAACTCTATTCTGGAGTAAAGACGGAAATACACATGCCAGTAATAGAAAAGTTACTGGCTAGCTACTGACGCTATTCATATATGCACATCTGTAATATAATACACGAGATTATATTACAGATGTGAGTTTTGTATTCTCCTCATTCCCTTCCTTGCCCCCTTACTAATATGAAAGCTGTCACAAAATCAAATATCGCGTTACATACATGCCAGTTAGGTATATGTGCCGTCACAGCGGCTACCAGTCTCGCGTCATTTAAAAATAAACTTAGGTCATGGCTAATACAAAAAGCCTTCTATAGTTTCGAAGAATTTTTGCTTCCTTGATTGTTTTATGTACACAATTATTATTCATTCATTTTTAATATATGTAAAGTTTTTTTTTAAATTATGACTTGTAATTCGATTACCAATAAAATATTTGTATTTGTATTTGTAGCTCCCATGTCAGTATTATCTACTGGGATGTGTATTCCTGCCTTTAGATTGGATGTTATATGTTAGTATAGAATGTATCACAAAAATCTGGCTTTAAAGTTATACAAAAGGAATTTTTTTATGGATGTCAATTTTAGAAATAAAGTTTTAAATAAAAGGAATACTTATGCTTAAATCTTCTTTTGGTTAAGTCATTAAGACTTGAATGTGGATGGCAACAAAGGAAGAGGAAGACAGTATGGATGGATTGTGTGAAAGAGGATACGCTTAAGAAGTGAGTGGATTCAGATATGACGGCTGATAGAGATGTATGGAAGAGGACATACTGTGCCGATCCCCGTAAGGGATAAGGGCAAGTTGATGATGTCTTCGTTAGTTTTTTTATGAAAATTTATATAGCGCAAATATGAATACTTTAAAAATAGATGTACGATATTAATATATTGGAAGTAATTATGTCATTTATGTTATTTAATATGATATTGTAGTGAAATTATATTTATTAGTACAAATTATTTGCAATAGTAATGTAGTTTTAATTCAAATAAATTTATAAATATTTTTTTTGCTGTTTTATTTAACGATTCAACACACAAAAGTTAAAATGTCATTAACTAGTTTGTGGTTTACAATATCACTAGTCAGATTGTATAATGAACAAATTCGCAATTGTTCGGTTACACATGAATACGTCAGTGATAAAAGAATTCTAAGGCCACACGCATGTGGGTGAAATTAAGATATGAGTGTATCTAGTAAATGTTTACAGTGGGTTTCCACTGACGAGACAATCTTTTAACATTATCATCATTCATTCTCGTTGAAAAAATTGAGATATTATTATTTTGTTTTGTTCCTGCCTCAGTGCAAACGGACCCTAAGTTTGTGTACTACACGTATTGATAATTGTAAAGCCAATGCCCTTGTCTTTTTTAAATTTTCCTTAAAAAATAAACTAAAATGCACATCAGTTTCTCTTTGTATTGGAAAATGCACAAAATTCTGTACCCGCAAATCTTTTAATTCGTAAAAAGTATAAAAATGAAGATTCACAGGAAGAGGAAATATGCTCTTTATGTCCGTCTTCTCCACTGACGATAAAGGGAGACGCACTGCAATTACGGATGTTTGGGTCACTTCGCTATTTCGGCGAATTGACTTTATGAATCAGAACGGATAAGAACATTTTGGTTCTTTTATTTCAGCTGTAACTTAGGTTATAGGTTTATTTTATCTTGAATCCGTATTACGTACTTGTTATTTCTAAATGTACCCTTGAGATCTATGTTTTCTAATATATGTAAATATCTTACTTTCAAAACAAGGTAAGTCTACCTGACCTCATTCTAATTAAACATCAAATATCCATATCGCCTATGTTTCACGATTCTAAGAAAAATATATCATCTTTTCTTATGTTAATTTATTTATCTTTATAACTAATCGATGTCGAGGATATTTCCCTTTCAATGCATCCGTCAGATTCATTTTCCCTTCCAATCCTTTTTTTATAAGGGAAACAGGACCGTCTACCTTTACTCCCCACTTTATGTTCCCCACCTTTGATATTCTCATGACTTTTTAAAAGCTTATACTCACCAATGAGGTAAACGTCTAACTAAAAGTCTCCATTTAGACAAAAGTGCTAATAATTTCTATTGAGTTTAAATTGGCAGGAATACTCTGTTCAGAACTAGGTACAGCGTTGGAGAATAGGCGCAACACTAGATTATCTGCATAGACGTCCCATCCCTAACTCACACCTGTCAATGTCAGACGTATTGGACATCGCGCCATCCTGGCGGGATCTCTGGCTCTGAGTGTTTACATTAATTACGCTAGTTGCAATTATATTAACTGATAAAAATTCATAACATTAATTTGTGAAACCAAAAAAGTTCCTATCGTATTTTCTATGCGTATTACCTTTATTTATTTTGTCCCCTTATCACTATTTGATATCATAATAAGGTATTTAAAACATTTTCTAGCGGCGCTTCATTCAGACAACGCTTGTCATCTGTCTTGGCGGGAAAATTGACAGTTCGGCATTTTTAATTTCGTTTTTTTAAATAGTTTTAAGGCAATTAAGAAAGGTATGAAATTTAATTCTTTATAGCTTTTAAATTATTAATCTTTTAAGTTATAGTGCGTATTAGATAAAGACATTTATTTTTGAGGTTATAAAATATCTACATATCAGTTATAGTAATATTTTTTTCCAGATGATAATCAAAACTTTATGTTTTCTGCTTGCTGCTATAAACTACGGGCGAAGTCAAAATTCTAATTGTTTTTTTACTGACAATGTATGTATGAAATTATTATTAAAAAAATAATTTATACTTCATAAGGCGTTAATTGTAAAAATACATTAAAGACATAGGGTAAGTAAAATTTTAGTAGTATACATCTAAAGCAATTAGTTATACAAAATCTTAAGTAATAACTTAGGTCTACTACGATTTAAAACACTCAAATTTATACACAATATATTTTAACTTTGCACAAGGTGGAACCAAACCGCGTGTACTACGTGTATAGCCCGGGCTACCCCCGCAACTACACCCCGGGGGTGCAGTGTCGGTGGATCGGCATCTGTCCTGCTGGCTATCACTGCAAGCTCGATTGCCCCGATATTAATATACCCCAGGTAAATACTGCATGAAAAAATACTAGCTTTCGCCCGTGATTCCGTCCGCGTGGAATTAAAAAGTAAGTAGCCTATGTTCTTCCAGACTATCATCAGCATCTATGCAAAATTTCATCAAGATCCGTAGAGCAGTTTAAGCTACAAACTTTAACAAACATCCATCTATATTAGTAACTTTTGCATTTATATTAGTAAGATATTTTCATCTCCCTTATCCTCTGATGAAAAAACAGAGATGACAAGAAAATAATTTACGTTATTTGTAGAGCAATAATTGATCGATGGATCGTCTGGTGATATCAAGGACAGGAGATTCTCAGATGTCAAGTTCAAAATCCTACTGCGGCAGAGGTACGCTCAGCGTGACATCTGTAGCACAGAGAATATCAATAGGTAGGTTGTATTCATAATTCGACGAAAGTATGGATGGATTGTGTGAAAGAGGATATGCTTAAGAAAGGAGTGGATTCAGATATGACGGCTGATAGAGATGTATAGAAGAGCAGCACATATGTGCCGACCCTCCGTAAGGGATAAGGGCAAGTTGATGATGAGGTTACATTCGCAACATGACCCTTCCTGCGCCAGCCCTTAAGACACAAGTCTACTCTGCTTGGAGATGACTAGGTCTAAGTCATTACAGTCTAATGCAGTTTGGTTGACTGTACACAGATCTTTGAATTTCTTGGAAGATATGAGCGGATAGAACGTTGTTTCCTTCTTTATAACGTAAGCTAAATGTATATAAACATTTGTACATGGCCAGTTTCGTGACCCAATATCTCCCTACATTAAGTGCAAATGAAAAACTTTTACAATTTCTCTAAGTCGAAAAATTTATTTCTATTCTAATCAATCTTTTTCTTACATCTATCAATGAAGTTGACAATTAATCACATATTTTTTTGTCTGCATCCAGATTTGATGTCGTCATACAACAGCACCGGCGGCCGCTTCCTCTGTCAATTGACAGCACGGCGATAGCTTGGATTCAATAATCCTGACCGATTTGTCGGTTGAAAATGAATCGGAATTTGTTGTAAAGCCTAACTTACTTAAGTATAATAGTAAAATGTTTATTTTATATTGTTTAATACCTCATAAATCAAATGTCTATCAGGAATAAATATTACAAATGTTTCAAAAAATACAAGAACCCGAGAAATTATGAACATTTCGCAACTTTGCGATTGAAATCCAAGACACACCAGAATCTTGTAAAAACCTCTTTTTAGTATTCCTAGTAGGCCTAAAAAATTCCTAGTAGTAGTTCCTAGTAATAAAAATTCCTAGTATTCCTAGTAGTAGCGCAAAGTAGACATAAAGGTACAAAAACTATTGTTATCTCGTTTTTTCCACAGAGAGTGAAAGAGATAGCAATGTGTGTTTGACCCTTTTTTGTTTTATTTGTTATTTTTCACCCTTGATACGTTATCAAACATGTGGACATTATCTAACTTTCAAAACCAAGGTAAGTTACTCGTGACCTCATTCTTATTGAATATCAAATATCCGTATCACCTATCACGATTCTAAGAAAAATATCTCATCTTTACTTATGGTAATTTTTTTTATATTTATTACTCAGTGTATGACATAGTAAGAGCCGCTATGGGTGTCGCAAGGTGACGTAGAGAATCGAAAAATCTAAAATAGATACACTGTTAGAATAAGACCTTTATAATGTTAGCCAACCTAGACCTAGCCTAGAACATTTTACGACGTCCATAAAGAAGCGTAAAGTTTTCTGCGAAAATCTCTACATTCATTCACTGTTGTTATCAATATTAATAGTAAAATATTTCTGTAATGTATAAACCTATTTAAATTAAACGAATTATTAACAATACTCTATTATCTAACTAATATTATAAATGTGAAAGTTTAGATGGATGGAGTTTGTGGCCTAAAAGGCTGAAGGCTTCGGTGAAATTTGATACAGATGTAGAGAATAGTCTGGAAGAACACCTATACTACTCACTTTTGCCTTTTTTTAATTCCACGCAGACGGAGTCGCGGGCGAAAGCTAGTGTATACTAATTTGGATTTTTGTATGTATTGAAATAACTCAAAAACTACTGGACCGATTTCAAAAGTTCTTACACCATTAAAAAGCTGTATTATCACTGAGTGTATTATTTTTAGATTTCACGCAGGTGAAGTCGCGAGCTAAAACTAGTTAACTTATAACCGTAATACTTTATTGAACCGAGATGTGAACATGACATTTGAATTGACGTCATAATGCGGGCGGGTTGAAAACATTTTCCTTATCATGCAAACCTTTTCAGCAGTGATTGTAGCGGCCGCTATTCTCTTATCAACATTTGATGTGCTAATGAAGCATTTAAAACAATTAATAGCACCGCGAATGTTTCACACGACGCGTAAATGTCACCCGTCGATCGCGTCTTGGCGGGAAAACTGACAGAACGTTGTTTTTGATTGCGATTAACTTTTTTTTTAAAAGTCAAATGTTTTGGTGATCGGTATAAAGTTTTGGTTTATAAAAATTGTTATTGAAGAGTTTATACAGCAGTTAGTCAAGGTAATTAATTTTATTATTTGAAATAAATAAATGACAATTCGAATCTAATTACGATAGTAATATTATGTCATACAACCTTTTTCAAAATAACCAGTAATTTAAAATCCGATTCTTCCGAAATTTAAAACTTTTATTATAAACTTTATATGTCTTGTCACTTAGTCACGTGAGTAAATAAACAGTCCAGACAAAGCTTTTTAAGACAGTTTATTTGCCCCCTACTAAAGTGTATAAAGAGTAAATACTAAGGTGCCTACATTACATAGAGACCCACTTGATATCAAATTGTCAGATTTTCATAAAAAAGTTGATCACATCTTGATAAGTTTCTTTGGAATAAAAAAAACATATGCTAGTTAGTTATGAGTGTGGAGGTACACCAGTAGAGGTAGACCTACAAAGAGATGGATTGCGTGAAAGGTGACATGATCAAGACGGGAGTGATGACTGAGATGACGTATGATAGAGTTTGGTGGAGGACAAAAACCAGTTGACCCCCTACGGGAGTAGGATAAGGAGGAAGATGATGATTGACTACTAGCCACCCTTGATCCTTAGCCCCCCCTTGATCTCAGCCCCCCTTGATCTCAGCCCCCCCTTGATCATTGGCCCTCTCTCCCATTAGATCATCGGTTGGCGACGCCTAATACTCTTTATTTATTCTTGTTCTATTGTAGAGCAAACCTTACCTTATCATTGCTCTTAATTGTTAAACTTAAACGATATTTAAAAACAATTCGTACAAGTGTGTCAGTAATCGGCATGCTAATGACCTAGCGCACAGTAAAGTATTTATGCCAATAGGACGAACGTCCCTACTTAAATGGCTCCTATGTATACTATCGTAACTTTGAATCGCAAATTTTGAAAGACAAAATTTTCAATTACTATTAATCACGACGAAAACACATGATGGACAACCAAAATGTACATTTCTTCTTTCTAACGTTACTTTATACAAAAAGTTGTCAATTTAATTTAAAAAATTAAACAAGGTGTAAATCGCAAAATTGTAGCTTGCAATAGTGTACATAGTAACCATCGTTATCTAGATTTAAAACTAGCTCGCTATTGTAATAAATAACTCAGTTCAGTGTTGTTTGAATCTGAATTTCAGTTGTTATTCATGTCAAGGATAAAGAGACAGAAAAGTACTCTATAGGATTTAAAAAAAATCTATGATATGACAGGGTTCTAACTTAGGATCTAAAGTTATTCTAGATGATCTAAGCTAAGTCTAGCGGTAGCTACCATTATTAAGGTCTTATTCAAAGTAGTTTAAAACTATTTGACATGTTCGATTCTCTAGGGGCGCTGTCCTCATCCTCTCATTCAATGGCGACGCCTATGTAAAGAGCAAATACACGAAAGTGAATTTGCTAGCTAATAGACTTTATTGATTTGCCAAATCAAAACAATTGCTTTCTACCTCTTATCGAAGTATTTTATCGATTAATATTTTAATCGGCTGATCGATACGAATCAGCTAAGATATGACTTTTCAATTTATCGGGCGGTCACCCCTCGAGGTGCCTCTTTATAGTTTAATTTCTTAAAATTTTAATGTTTCATCTTATATTTTTGACCGACTTCCCAAATGAAGGAGGTACTTAATTCGTCTGTATTTTTTTTTTATCCGAAAAGTAATAATTATTGTACAATATAGACATAACAGTTACAATAGGGTAGGTTTACTATTTTCAAGGAATTATTTACTGTTTTTTTGAGAATATTTTGTTTTTAGTGTATTTTGTTTCGTTTTTAGTGTATTTTGTTTGGAAGACGGTTTTGTTTTTTTTAATAAAAAGTTTATTTTAGTATAATTAAATATCAAACATTATTTTTCAGATGATATTCACAACTTTATGTTTCCTGCTCGCTGTTGTTAATAACGGCCGGACGCAAAATCCTAATTGTGATTTTACTCAAAACGTAAGTTGTTACGAGTTCGTTTAATAAATTAACTACACAGTTGACAAAAATATATCTTAAATCTTTACGGTAGTTCAACTTGAACATTTAATTAATAGTGCACAGAAGTTTTGACGATGACTCCCTCTCCCACTAACACTGACCGCGTCCCTTACTTACTGTCAGTTGACACGTGACGTCATGAGGCCATCGGCAAAGCTTTTCCATAAGAGTTCAACACTTTAGCGCACCGCTTATTTATTGTACTCTTACTTAGATAAGCATTAACAGTTTTCTACCTCTACACAGTTGAAATTACTCTAAGATAAAAGAAAACACTGTATGATTTTTTTTATTTTAATCTCAAAACAAGGTGGAACCAAACCGCGTGTACTACGTATACAGCCCTGGCTATCCCCGTAACTACACCCCGGGGGTGCAGTGTCGATGGATCGGCATCTGTCCTACTGGCTACAACTGCAAGCTCGACTGTCCCGAAATTAATCTACCTCAGGTAAATTGTGAACACAACATGTTACAGATTTAATCACCGAACCAGATAGAAAATACCCCTAAAATGGAGAGTATTTCTGTGTTTCTGATAAGAATAATATGTCAATAATTTGTGTAATATTTGTTTTTCATAGAGCAACATGTGTTCGATGGACCGTCTACTGATATCTAGAACTGGAGATCCTCAGTTGTCGTCATCAGAGTACTACTGCGGCAGAGGCACGCTCAGCGTAACATCTGTAGCACAGAGGATATCAATAGGTAGGTTAGATTCATCGTCAGGTCACGTCTCCACTCCTGAATCTGGAGCCTATAGTAGAGTGGTAGACGTTGCACGATTAGACTTTCTAGGTCTAACATCAATAACACTCAGAAGACAGGCGTGAATAGGAAATCATTCTACAATACATATTGTACCTTCTGATGAGTGGATGTACTGTGTGCCTAATTTTAGTTATCTTCCCCTTTCACCCACTTTTTATAAGGACAGGATGAAAAGGGAAAGTGAACTTGATAGGAAGGGGCAATATTCTCTTTCTGTGCATTCTCTCCGAGGATCAAAGGTATCGCATCTGCAATATGCATGTCTATGGGCAGCAGTCGCTTCACTGTTTAGGTGAAATCAGGTGGTCACTTGCTTGTTTGCCACCTTAAGATAAAAAAACAGGTGAAGTAAAGGCTTACTAAGTAAATCAATTGGCCCAGTACGAGTTGGTTAATTACATCTTTTAATTTCTTTTCCACTATGCAAATACCTTCTAGTAAGAACGGTGAACAAATGTGTTTTGTAAACATAACTAATATCATCGATAAAAAAAAAATGTTGATTTACTTTTTGATAATTGTGCCGCTGTCTAATCATTTTTATTAAGATCGCGATAAATTGGTCCAAAACTTAACTAAGTTTGATATGAAAAAGGCACCAGTAGATAAAATATTGTAAATTATTGTAACATGTAAGATAACATCGAAGTCCGGAAATGACGTAAACAAAAATAACCCGCTGATGCCTTAAATGACATTTAAAAAATATATAAAAAGCCGCTTGAAGCACTAAAAGAAAGTCTCTATAAGATTGTAGAAAACTACACTTTTTCAAACAAGTCGCAAAATTTATTTTTATAACGTAAACGAACCTATTAACGACCCCTCAGAATCTAACTCAACTCAAAAACTATCATTTTCATGCGATGTATTATAGCTGCACAAGCGGTTGCTTTGAAAAAAAATGTAGATTTATTTATAATTGCAATTCGTCAATCCCAAATCTATTCAGTCCTTTTTTATATAATAATAGAGTTGTCCATTCCACGTTGTCGAAGTTCGATAATTTACTCAATTAAAATTCATCAAAATCGCTTAACATCCTCAACTACAGGTGCAAAGTTGCAGACAATAAATTATCGCATTTTATTTCTATAAGGTTTGATATCATCATACTATAGCAGCGGGGGCCGTTTTTATTGTCAGCTGACAGCGCAACAAGCGGCTATCACACCTACACCATGTCGCTGCGGATACAAGAAATCGGTGAGTAGAGAACTAATCTATACCTCTACATGTATACTAATATATAGCACACACTACTTTTTTATGTAGGATGTTATCAATTACAGTATATTTTTGAATCATATTTTTTTAATAAACAACCCTACACTTCCGACACGCTTTAGCCTATCACGCTATTAAACTTAGGGCAGTAAAATTTGGTAAAACCTTAATGTGGGAAAGGGACCATAAATACAAGCTGCCAACATCAAGGAAGCAAACGTGCTATGGTAACGGTAATTATCCAATGTCGAAGGCCTTCGTTGTCATTTCTTCATTTGAATTTTGGCATTTACAGAGAATTTAACAAATTTAAAAAATAGAATACAGTTTTTTTTATAATTTCATGCTGATGAAGCCGCACCGGAACTGCTCGTTAAATATAAACTTACGACTAACACTAAATATAAACAAAAACATGGTATTGGTTTATGGTAATTCTGACATAGATCCGTCTTCCAGAACCGTATAGTAGGTGGTCAGGAGACGGGCGTGAACGAGTTCCCCATGATGGCGGGTGTGGTGTACGTTGACATCAGACAGATAAAGTGTGGCGGCGTCATAATAAGCGCCCGTCATATTCTGACAGCTGCCCATTGCGTCATCAGACGGACTGTCAACGATATCGCCGTTGTTGTTGGAGAACATGACGTCAATGTAGGTCAGAACTTAAATGTTTTACCAATTGTATAGGAATTGTGGTATCTTTATCTATAACAGGATGTTGCTCTCGACTTCGTCCACGTGAAAATATAGCCTATGATATTCAACGATAACGTAGCTTTTTAATGGTGAAAGAATTATTGAAATCGACTCAGTAGTTTTTGAGTTATTTAAATAAATACAACAATCCTAAAACACAATTTTTTCCTCTTTATAATAGTACAGACCAGCTTCTGCTCGCGATTTCTGCGCTAAATTAAAAATATCCTATTTATTAATGTAGCCTATGTCATTTAGCGATAATGTAGCTTTCTGCTAGTGAAAGAATTTTTGAAATCGGTTTAGTAGTTTTAGAGTTTATTGGTTACATACAAAGATACAGATCTTTTATCTTTGAAATCTACACTTTTATACAAGTTTTATAGTAAGTAAATTAAAAAACTACTGGGCCGATTTAAAAAAATTCTTTCACCATTAAAAAGCTATGTTATCCCAGAGTACCTAACATTGGCTATATTTTAAATTTTATTTTCAGTGAGTAATATAGGTTACATTTTTATTATCTTTTAATTTCACGCAGACGAAGTCGCGGGTAACACCTAATATTAAGTAAAGAAGTAAATAGGCTACCTCTAAACTATAGTTTCATAACTGCTAGGCTTCTACTGAAAATATGTCTATAACTGCCGTTTATCAGCTAAAACGAATTTAATTCTGAAAGTCCTAATTTGAAATATTACTCTAGTATATCATTAATACTTAGTAACAAGATTAAGTCTGTTTTCAATTAATACATTTACCATGTTCCAGGCGACTCGCCGGCCACGCAGGGCTTCAGAGTCATTGACATCAGGATACATCCATTGTACAATTTGTGAGTTTATAGCCATAGCTTATTGAAGAAATTTACCCTTTTCATTAAAAAAAGTTACTTTATACAACGGTACAAAGGGAACAAATGGGAGCTGCATTAGAGTTTCGAAAATTGACAAATTATTAAATAATTTAATTCAAAATACTAAGCGGTCTACAATCTTAAGATATTTACATAGATTACTAAAAATGACTTGTTAGTTTTTTATGAAAAAAACTGGATCTTGTGTTGATACGTGTTCTCTTTGAAATAAAAAAGTAGTTTTACATTTAGCCCTCTTTATTATTGCCTCCCCCTTAATCATCTGTTTGCTCTCCCCCCCTAAATCATCGCCTGGCGACGCCTATGTTACTTTATTCCACCTCTACGTTTATTAAAAAATTTATTCTTTTGTTCATTAAAATATTTATTTCATTAAAATAAACATATTTCATTAAAATAATGTTTTCCATTAAATTTCAGGTCAACCTATGACAATGACATCGCAATCCTAACTCTACAGCAGGATATTGCGTTCAGCGACCGCGTGGGACCTGTCTGTCTGCCATTCAAGTTTCTTAATAACAACTTCGCCGGAAATAAAGTCACCGTCCTAGGTTTACATTTTGTTTATTTTATACTTATATTGTATTCGTTAATTTGCTTTCATTTGATGTCAAAAGTGCTCTGTGTCTTGAGAAAATGATGGGTCTGTCGCGCTTGTTCCTGTATAGAAAGTGTATCGCCCCCAGAAGACATAAGTTTTTTTTGAGTTACAACCATTTTAAGAACGTGTATATTAGAGGAAGTTATAACATAGCTCCAATGTATCTATCTACAAAGATAACAAGGTTGCTGCACAAAACATAGCAGCAGGAAATAAAGAATTAAAAAAAAAAAAAAACATAGCTCCAATAGTGGGGAAATCTAGAAGCAAAAGGATAGTATAGGCTGGACATATTATGCGGAGAGATAAGGACATAAACAAGAAAGATACAAAGGTAGAGAAAGTCCGAAGAAAGTATGGATGGATTGTGTAAGAGATAGAAATGTATGGAAGAGCAGCACAAACTGTGCCGACCCTCTGTAAGGACATAGGCAAATGGACAACCTAGTGTTCAATCACGTTATGAATATAGAAGGAAAGGATAAACGCACCGGTTGGAAATTCATTTCTCCCTCTGTGTTACTTTAGTTTAACGATTCCTAGGTTGGGGTACTCTGTTCCCTGGCGGGCCGACCTCCAACGTGCTGCAGAAGGTGGACCTGGACGTGATCAGCCAGGCCACCTGCCGCCGCACTGAGCCGCTGCTCACACCACGACAGATGTGCACATACACTCCTGGCAAGGACTCCTGTCAGGTAGGGTTTTAACACTTATGGTCATTTTTTACAAAAAATATCCATAGTTAGACCCTTTATAATGTTGAGGGGTTTCATGACCCTCTGACATCTTTGTAGATTCGACGTATTCCTATCTTTTTAATGTTGTAAAGTAACTTACAGTGGATTTTTCATACCAAATCTATCTATCTATATTAACTTGTTAATTTGCTTTTGTTCTTTTAATTTGCAAGTTGGAATTGATCCTAGTGCCATTCTGAGTAGGACCCTCCGGGACTCAAAACAAGTCTGTCGGTCTCGGAATGACTAAAAACGACCACAACAGATCTCGATAAAATTTGACACAGATATAAAACAGTCAGAAAGAACACGTAAGTTACTTAATAATTTAGGGAAAATGCTTATACAGACTTTTATTGACAGGACGACTCCGGCGGTCCTCTGTTATACACGGATCCGTCAAACGGCCTTCTTTATAGCGTGGGTCTCGTCAGTTACGGCGCGTTCTGCGCGTCAGGCTCGCCCGCCGTCAACACGCGCGTCACGTCATTCCTAGACTGGATCGTCGCTACCACACAGGCCGATTTCTGCAGAATATAATAAATTATTATTTGAAAAGTGTATGTTTTATTACAAAATTAGCTTATAAGATGTCAATTCCCAAAATTGATATTTTTATTTTGAGTCTTTTCTTTCCGTCTTTTCCTTGTTTATTCTATGAATAGCTTTCGCCCGCGACTCCGTCCGCGTGGAATTAATAAAAAACAAAAAATAGAGTAGCCTATGTCTTCTTCCAGACTATCCTCTACGTCTTTGCGAAATTTCACCTATATCTGTTCAGCCGTTTAGGCTACAAACTCTAACAAACATTTGTGTTCCCGCATCCCTTTTGCCCCCTGCTCATATAAAAAAAAACATCTATCTAAACTTGCGCGTTTATAATTATAGTAACATTAACAATATTTTATAGTCAAAACATAGCAATATCAAATTAAATACATTTTTTTCCATATCTATAGAAAAAAGTAATAAAAGGTGGTGAAATTGTAATAGTCTTAGTGTATTTTTGTTTTGGTTTTGCTTTTCAATAATAGATGGCGCTATTCGATATCCGAGCGAGAGAGGGCAGTGAGGAGCACCCGGTAACTGCTATTGATTTTCTTACTACCGCCCACACAGCGCTGAACATCCCCTATCCCCAGCCGACACAATCGTTTCATTTCAACTCTCAACATCACTTCTTATGTATTCTAAAACAACTTTTACATTAGAAATGTAGTTTAACCTCACGTTAACAGAATGTGTTTTAATTTATCGTGTTTTATCTATTTGTTTTTTTATTATTTAATAATTTGTTAGAAAATGGAAGTAAATATAAAGATACTACATGAAGCCGGAAGGTAGCGATCAGATAATGCCAAAACGCATTCCCTTCCACATCGTTTACGCAACAAGTAAGTACATAATTAAATACAATTTCTGTAGTTACTAATTAATAGTTATTTTTGTCTATATCTAAGCGTAAATGTTTCTATAAAGGATAACTAAATAGACATTTTCATTTATTAGAAGATAATGGTATGTAAATCCTTTCAAATGAGATCTAAATTGCCGCTTTGTTAAAATAAATGCTATAATTGGTCGGTATTAGGTTAAGGGCCTGTCCTACCAAATTGTAAATTGTCTGATAACAACGTGTAAAATATGTGATGGAAATATCGGATTTTGTTACCTTAACTGTGATGTCACTTTTAAGCTATCTGAGCTATCAGCCAGTGGTGGGACAGGCCCTAAATATCGAAAACACGCAGAAATGCTTTTCATTAATAAATAAGCCAAGCAATTTTTTATGTTTTGGTGGAGACTTAGGAAGGAATGAATTCTAAAAATTAACGATTCCTTTTGGAACGGAACAGAATAATAAAAAGTAGTTTACAAGAATCAGAATCTTATAGCAAGTAATTTATTAATTTATTTACTTGTATAATTATTAAATAATTTTGTCATGAATATAAGTTATAATGGTGACATGATCAAGAAGGGAGTGAGTGGACTGAGATGACGGATGATAGAGTGCTTTGGCGGACGAAAACCCGGTGCGCCGACCTTACGGGAGTAGGATAACCATTTGGATATACAAGTGTATTAAGTAGTGGAGAAGCTATCAAAATAGGAGCTATTATATTTTATCTTACTAATATTTTAAATGCGAAAGTTTAGATGGGTGGATGGATGTTTGTTAGAGTTTGTAGCCTAAACGGCTCAACGGATTTCGATGAAATTTGGCATAGATGTAGAGGATAGTCTGAAAGGACACATAAGCTATTCATTTTTGTATTTTTTAATTCCACACGGACGAAGTCGCGGGCGAAAGCTAGTATAGAATATTTTAAACCAACATAATCATGTAATACCAGACAAAAACAATCCGTAATATATTATGAACATTATATTAAGGCGGTAAAGCGCGTGGCGTTGCCCAAATTTAGAACGTCTTCATAAGTATCAAAGAGCAAACATTGGTAATCCGTTTTACATGTAGAACCTCAACAACTAAGCCGTTTTCTGTTGTCACTTTAAGTAGAACTATTGAAAGAAACCCTAAATCCTTAATCAGATATATCTAGACAACTTAAGTTATTCTTAAAGCTAAGCGCACACCTTCCACCAAATTATCGCACAACATTGTCCGATTATCGAATGAAACTGTTTAGTTGCACAACTAAAAATCGAGTAGAGTGCGCATATAAACTCATACTAAAAAGTTGTGCGATAGTTTAGTCAAAGGTGTGCACACGCTCTTAGTATATCCTATCGTTAACGCCACGTAACATGTAATCGTAACAAATTAGACAGATTTGTCTTCTAGACAATAGAATTAATAAAAGATTCATGTCAGAGCGGAGCCAGACAGTCTAGTCGCCGTGTCTGGTTACTATCGATTTGTACAGCCGATTTAATATTCCAATAGCTATGTAATTGTTGCTATATTGTACAGTCTATGTTTAGGTCTACGCTAGTTCTGTTCGGGTCGCAAACAATCATAATGGATTTTAACATTGTTTGTGTCGTCTCTGTCTCAAGGTTTCTTATTAGGTAGTAGCTGCTGCTTGCGACTTCGCTCGCATGAAATTACAAAGATAATAAAAAATACAGCCTATGTACTCAATAAACGTAGCTTTTTAATGGTGAAAGAATTGTCGAAATCGGCCTAGTAGTTTTTGAGTTATTACAATACATACAATAATTGGTACAACTAGTTAGATTGTTCTCTAATGACAGCATGACGATCTCCAATCATACTTTACGTAGACTTAAATGAAATAACTTATGTTGATTGAATTATTTAAGGAAACTACTTGAAGTAGCCTCTATTTATTTACTTTCACAAATATTATTACGTAACTTAGTATGGATTCATATTTCTGAATTAGTTCAGAGTTTACTAACATATTTCATTCCAATTTCCCTTTGCCGCAATGCAGTCTGTTTGTACTCGTATGTACGAAGTTAGTGCAGCGAGTCGAGCAATTTGATTGAAGTCGGCAATCATCCCGGAAACGCAAACCACGCAATTAAAACTTCATTCTTTCATACCATGCGTTTGAATACGGTTTATTCATGCTTTTTATTATAAAAGAAGCGGTCAATTTTTTCCGTTAAAAATACGTAGTGCAATTTAATATACTGTCTTTTGATGCCGTGCTTTTTAATGAATAACTACTATAGTGTGTCTTAATACTTTAGGTTAGTTGACAATTCACTTCATTTTTAGTAGGGATGGTTGTGTAAAATCAGTCATGAATCTTATCGATTTTCGATTTTTATTCTTATAGAAGTTGGAATCGATAGAATCATAGTTATAACTCATGAATTGTAAAAAAAAAACAGTGTTTTCTCAAATTAACATCGATTTTTAAATCGATTTTTAGATGTGCAACTAAACAGTTGAGGCTGCGAGACAATGGACAATCGCACAACTATCATGCGTTAGTTTAGTCAACGGTGTGCGCCCGCTCTTAAACTGGGTTTCTGAAGTTCACATTAATTTTATCATTACTTAATGATTCATTAGTGTTAGGTAGACCCATGTTTCAACAGAGTAAAACTCAAGTTACGTAGTTCGCAAACGCATTTCATGAATTTACGGAACCAAAAACACTAACGAACGGTCAAACTTAGCTGGGAAACCGGCCAATATACTAAGATGTATTCTCTTCGTAGGTGTGTCAATGTCTTCTGTTTGATATTGACTATTTTGTGTGTAAGGTGAGGACAGCTGCTACCCGGCATGCGAGCTAAACGCGCAGGGCCCGGCAGCCCGTGGCTGGCGCAGCGCCGGCGCTCCGCCCCACGAGCTATTGCTGCGTCTCGCCAACGTCACCAGCGTCCACAAGCTACAGCTGCTTGCACACCACCAGCTTATACGTAAGCATTATGCTATTCTCATTCCCATAACTAATAGCGACAATTACTCTTCCTACGTTGAAGTTTAGTCCAAATAGATCGTACGCAAATTGTATACTGATATGCGAACTGAAAACGATTAACGCTGCTATATGCTAAAGGCGATAGTTTGTAATGCATTTACCTGTGATAAGATCCAAGAAGTCTATGAGCTAAATATGGAGATACTCACACTACTTACGCGATTTTTAGTGTGCAACTAAACAGTTGAATAGGCTACGAAACAATTGACAATAGCACAACATTCATTCGCCCGGTCTAATATAAATGTAAATATTATTTGTGATGTTCAGCGGCGTGCGTAGAAGTACTGGTGTCAGGCGGGCTGGTGTCAGAGGGCGCGGCGACGCCGTGCGGGGCCACCTACACTAGCGTGGGCCGCGTCACCCTCGCCAGACCAGCGCCGCAAGCTCGCACTAGGGAACTTAGGTAATATAACTTGAGACAGTAAGACATAGTAAATCACCAAGAAACACTTAACTTATCTCCGCACAGAGTTGTTAAGAGGTACTAAATGTGACTCTTAGTGACAAACTAAATTCAGCAAGATGTAATTCAAAGTTTGTTTTCCTTTGCAGATCCGCTGCCCTTCCAGAACCTACCATCGCGCGTTTCGTAAAACTTCGCCTGTCAGGTCCACATCCACCAGCGCATGATAACGATCAGGTATACCATGATTTTTATACAAGAAAACTAATCTTACTAATATTATAAATGCAAAAGTTTAGATGCATGGATGGATGTTTGTTAGAGTTTGTCGCGTAAACGGCTGAACGGATCTCGATGAAAGTCGGCATAGACGTAAAGGATGGTCTGGAAGAACACTAAAGGAAGGCTACTCACTTTTTTTTTAATTTCACGGAGACAATGACGCGGATGAAAGCTAGTAATGAATACATTAAAATCCAATTAGTTAACCTTACATCTCTGATTAATGTTATAAATAATCGGATTACAGGTAGCTCTAATGGCAGTGAATGTCCTTGGTATTGAAGTAGACGAGGAAGGTAAAACAACTCCAGCCACACCCAAATCCGAGCCAACTTACTCCCCTTACGATGACCTTGCTTTTGTCATGTACGTGGACAACGAAATAGCTGACCTGGTCAGGAATCTTGATGAGAAAAAGAAAAACGCTGTAGCCGGTGAGTACAATTACTTTGAAGTACTATTTATCAATCTGTAAAACAGTTAACAGTTAAAAATCTAACCACCTAAAATGCTTGATATCGGCTAATAATAATAATAAGAATACATAAGAGTATCAGGACATGCTAGTTGTACCAAACATAATACTTTTTACAAACAACAGAGAAGAAGCATTACAGAACGATTAGAAACTAGTGAAACCTAGGAAAGAAATAGAAATCTGTAGAGGAGGCCTGTGTCCGAGGACACGCTGTAGATAGAGGATTAAATAACAAAAACAGTCAGCAATTCATCAAGACAGTAGTGAAAAATAACTATGTTTATAATAAATTTTGTTTTATAGTATTGTAGGAAACATATTGTAAAATATCTATAGCAATAAAGGCTTTATTATTATTATTAAGAGCGACGCCCACATTTGACTAAACAGCACAACAGTTGTGCGATTGTCGATTGTTTTGCAGCTCAACTGTTTTGCACAACTAAAAATCGAGTAGTGCACCTTCATATAAGCTTATAGGAATTAGAGCGAGACTAAACAGTTGTGCGATAGTTTAGTCAAAGGTCACGTTACACGTCTTCCGATGTACAGAAGTAAAATATTAGAAAACGGCCTCTAACACTTATTAAACTAAACGCGGAAATACTCTTACAAGTCTTCTGTATACCCGTGGTATTGAATTTGCTGCTGCGCTTTACCTGTTATGTTATATCTCCAGAGGAACGTTTCGAGTACGCCAGACGTTTGAAGTCCGCATCATCAGCGTTAGCAGCCGCCGGCATCAGGATAGGTCGTTGGAGGTTGAGGAAGCGCACCGCTGCAGCTCGAGATGACTTCGAGCTGGCGCGCAGGATGAGGGACAGGATCGCAGATGCTTTAGTCGGGGTTAAAGAAGATCCACAACTTTGTAGGCTGTTTGAAGAGGATGGTGTTAGTATAATAATAAGATTACTCCGTTACTTAATATCAAAGAAGTTTTAAAATATTGCCAATAGATGTCACTAAATAAAATTTCAATGTTTATATTTTATTTTGTGAAACTGTTTAGTTTATTTTATAACAAAAGATGGAGCTTATTATAATTTTGTAAAATGTTTAATAACATGTTAATACAAGGACACGAGATGGCGTACTAAACTTAACAACTTTAAGTACCTTTCAAAGTTACCGGTAAAAAAATGTTGTTCCATATGTCTAGTCTATGTATTTCTTAATAGTCTTTACATTATATACTTATTTAAACTGTCAACATTAATATTCTATTCTTTTGTATTTAGATGAAGAACTAACTTATCGCTTATCCTCCAGCCTGACTCCCGGAACGACTCATCAATGCCTCAAGCATACGACTTCTCTCATCACCTGTCACCCTCAGTGGTGGCGGGGACACTCAGCCTCGACATCCCCTCCCCAGTTCCGCCTGTAGACGACACTGATCCTGTCATGCACGAGTTTGTTAACGGTGTGGAAGACGAAGATGTTAATGTTCCTAATGTGAGTATCCTTAATCTTAACACAACATTTATCTGAATTATAGTGTGACCTTTGATCAATCTATCGCACAACTGTTTAGTCGCCCTATGATTCGTAGGAGCATAAGCCCATAAGCCTTCATATAAATGAAGGTGCGCACACTGCTCGATTTTTAGTTGTGCAACTAAACAGTTGACAGGCTGCAAAGCAACCGACAATCGCACAATTGTAGTGACACAGTTTAATCAAAGGTGCACCCGCTCTAAATGTCGTCCTAAAGTATATGACTCTGTGCACGCGCCCTGTTATTTAAAAAAAACTATAAAGTACAGTATTAACAAAACACTTTCAGTAAAATAGTTTTAAAGTCGTATTTTAAGAAGTTTTCTAATTAAGTAATTAGCACTAGGTTTTTTTTTGTACCAAAACGAGTAGTAAAAAGTCTTGTTTTATTTTTCAGTCCCCCGTAAAAACAATACAAGAAGAGATACAGTTAGTCGCACAACCTCCTCCAGCACCGGTAGAAGATAAGATAGAAATACAGAAGAAGGAAGAAGAAGAGTTAAGAAAAGAGACTGATAGCCCACGTAGAAGTATTACTCCTAATGCTGCTAATGGTAAGGTTTAGAATTATATTTAAAACGACCACCGTGATCACTTAGTAATGACTGTTCGTGGTTCAGATCCAACAAAATCCTTTTTAGTCTTCCTGTCTCTCTCTCTCTCCCTTTCTCTCTCTTCCTCTCTCATTCTCTCTCTTACTCAAGAACTATATTAGTTCTTGTCGATAGAGCAATTTCCAGTCCTCCCTTGTGCCATGCCATGCCATCCTCATGATACTACAAGACTTTTATATTCAGTCATGAATAATCATTGAAGATTAAGAAACTCAGTAATAAATGCCTTATGTTTTAAACTTGTAAACAATTAATTAAGTGTTACTTTTTCTTAATTTTATAGGTACGTTAGTGAGGCGTAGAAATAAGAGCGCAGGTCCAAGGTCCACATTCGAGGCGTACGAGGAACGTTTACTGCCCGCACTAAGACAGTGAGTAAAAATTTTTATTTATTTAACCAAAGACTATCTATAGGTATATATATGTTAAAAGGTTAGCGTGGGATGGGCATGTTATGAGGAGGTATGAATCGTATGTAAGAAACAGGACGTGGAGGGGTACAACGGTAGAGGTAGACGTAGTAGGAGATGGATGTATTGCGTGAAAGGTGACATGATGAAGAGAGTGACTGAGATGAGATTAAATGAGTGATGCCTGATTAAATGAGTTATTATTATTATTATTATTAGATGACTGAAGATAGAGTTATTTGGAGGACGAAAATCCGGTGCCTACACTACGGGAGTAGGATAAGATAGGAGAGATGACGATGTTAATAGCAAACCTAAAGCGGTTTTACATTAGATATCTTCCGTTTTTGGCGAAGTATGAACTTCTTGATATCTACTATCAGACAGTCATATAACTCCCTCCAGTGTGGCTATTCTAATGTGTGAATGACATTGACTGATGTCATAGGGATGGGACATCCATGCAAATAATCTAGTGTTGCGATGCTCCAGCACAATACTGACTTTCTTCTTAACACTACAAACTTATAAATGAACATCCGGTACCTAACATATAACATGTATAACCTAAAATAAAGCTCAATCCATGTAAAGTATGTCTGACAGTTCTCACACTAACGAGTTCCTACGGGAGGCGCGCGAGGCGCGGGAGGAAGAGGGCAGTGCGGGCAGCGCCCCCCCGCGGCAGAC